CCTGCACAATGTAATGATAGTAGCAATACGTTAAAACACATTTCAATTACCCTCCCTAAAAAATTAGCTTATTTAAGTACAATGTCCGCCATGTTGGATTTTACCCGAAGTAGGGTTTTTGAAGACATCTAATCTATATAATATATACAAAAGTTGTACATAACAAAGGTTTGTACCAAATATTATGATAGTAGCATGATAATAACACCTTTTCACATACTAGCCATCGATATTGGGCTGATTTAGGTATGATGTCCGCCATTTTGGATTTTACCGGAAGTGAGACATTTTTTTCAAATGCCTCCCTGTCTGAAATAAAAGAGTAATAGTTGAGGAAGGTCTATGCCAAATTTCATGCTTGTAGCAGGATGTGCACAATTCGTCTGAAATATGCTTGTAGCCGCTGCACTATTGCAGTCAATAAATCGTTTAAATATAAGAACCTTTTTGCCTTTTCACCAAACATATGTGTTTTAGTAATGTGAATGTTTATAAGCGCTTTGGTGGGAAAGTTTCTAAACAAGTATTTTGACAACGCAATTATATTTGTTTTAAAACGACCCCTGTACACTGTGTGTATCTAGGTCAATTATAACGTGGTATTGTGCATTGTCATGATTACATGTAAACTAATTTTGTCTGAAGATTTAACCACGTGTGTATTTTCATCATAGACTAAGGAGAGAACATTCTGGTTTAAATGTGTATATTAGATCGGAAACAGAAAGATAATATTATTATCAAAAGTATTCAATTTAATTAATTCAATAGAAATCGAAGAAATATATACAAAATATATACTGTATTTATGTTTCTGTCGAAACTAAATATTAAATTGAAGTCAGAATATTTTCAGAGTTGCAATTAAGAAATAAGTATTTATATGACAAGATACTTTGCTTTGGTATTTTTAAATATTCAGTTGTAACTGAAACATGCATAATAATTAAATCTGAATAAATCCTTGCATCATACAAAAAAAAATGTTGATAAACAATAATAATTATATTTCTACGTTAATTATTTCCTACCGTTTTAGTAAGGTTTTATAAGTAATTGTTATTTATTTTTTTGTATTGTAACATATCCATAAAACTGAAAGTCAGATAAATTAATTAAATATTTAAATTTTAAACGGTCGTGAATAAAAATACTTGTGTGTTTTCAATTCACAAAGATTTTAAATCCTTGCAGCTCACAAAAAAACATAATAATAATTTACAATAATCATAACAAAATTTAATTAAGTATACTATCATACTGGTAATTTTTTTGTACTGTTTTAGTATGGATTTATAAGTCTTTGCTTATATTTTGTATAGTAATCTATTCATATAGTGGAATGGTAGAATTTAAAAATAGATTCATTTGATAAATAAAATGTCCGTCCGTAAATACTTGACGTTTGTGTTTATTGATACTACATGTATATATATTAAAAATTTTCGGAAAAAAATTACTAACAGGAACGTATGTTTATTATAAAATTTCAATTCTATTTTTGTTTGTTTGTTTTAATAGTTTAACCTTATAACATCTACATATTTGTACTATGGTACGGTTTTGAAAATTGTATTCACTGTGTTGCCCAACCATCCTACACCTCTTGATTCGTTCACATTATAGATCACATTTCAATCGCACACTATCGGTTTGCGTTCACAAAAATTCCAATAATACTAATTTTACTCGTGAATGCGCATTTTCGTTTTTCTTATCTAAATTTAGGACACGGTTGTAAGAGATTGACATGTGACTTTCATGCACGGTCATCATTACTTACGGTATTCTGACCTCTAGCTGTTTCTCTTTTGTTTCTTTTTTGAGTCACTGTCCTATAATAAACTTTGACCTTTTCGAATAGCTAAGGATTGTCTACCCAAGGAATAGATTCCTTAACTTTGTAATTTATTTGGCCTTTTAACTTTTTTCATTCGAGTGTCACTGATGCTTTTTTGTAGACTGGCGTCTGGCAAACATCATTTTAATTCTGGTATCTTTTTATATCTACATACCTTTTTATATAAATTGGTTATTTTGAGGGTGTGTACAGGTATTCATAAAATTTCTGAATTAAGATATTCTTCGGCAAAACCAAGTTTCCCTGTAGAATATTTGAATTGATTTAATTAAAATCAGGAAATCCTTAAAATTTGAGATGTTTTATTAGACCAAAAAAGGTCTCTTTATAAGATGTCCCAATCAGTTGCATGCCGCAGGTTCCATTGCACATGGAAATTGGACTTAAGGTTTGTCTATACAATTAACATCTACCATGAGTACAGACAGCTTCAATAACGAGTTGAGAACATGAAGGTCCATGCAGGAAGCAAAATATAAAGATATGATAGATAAAATAAATGCATGCAGAATTCCAGATTATAAAGCAAACTGAGTGCATAAATTTATATTGCGATTGGTTTATGCAATTTGCATAAGTCATCCGGTGTGTAGAAATTGGGATTTGCAGAAGGGTTATCATCGGGAAAATTATGTACATTCCCAAGTACTAATTAAAATAGTCTAGCTTTAAAATGTATATTCAAATAGTAGATGTAAATATACACTTTCAACTGACTTTTTCTAATCACAGTCAATTATTTCAATTCAAAAGCAAACACAAATTGAACAACAATCTTTTGGTGACCCGGCAGTCAGCGGTCTTAGGTTCACGTATTGCTTTTCTTTCTTTAAAAGAAAGCAACTTGTTTTTCCCTTGGCTAGTTTACAAATCCTGTCCTCTACTGGCAGTTTGACCTCTTTCAATATATAAGTTACTATTACTAATTCTTACTTTAACAAATGTTGTAATGCTTTTTTGTCAATATCTGTGAATAAATATTTTTCTCTGCAAGTTTGTTTTAAAATTACGGTATGTTTTAACTTATTACCACCTGCCATTTTGTCATCATTATAAAGTAACCCTTCCCAATAATTTATAAATCTTTCCTGTAGTTTTTTGACAATAGATGAAATTAATTTAGACTTAGAAAAGGTACCTTGATTTTCCCAGACATGTCCAAAGCCAATATGATTTAAAAAAAAAAATAGTTTGTGAAATATACTGTTTTTAAGTAAAACATTGTCTTTATAAGACCAATATATTAAATTTTTATCTTTTGACTTTAATAAATATAACCAGTAACTAATATTAGACTTGAATGCAGTCAGAGAGAGAGGGTAAAGACCCAATTCACATAGGACAGCTATATATATGCGTATGAAAAAGGAACACATGAAGCGTTTGAATTCGAAGTTAAAGACTAAAATTGACTTTTTTTTTTTGCTAACCAGAGCGAAAATTGAAGCCGTTCATACGTATTAAAGATCACAAAAGTCGAAATTTGTGTATTCATATATACAAGGCAATACGAGACTTTACATTCAACATCCACCCTCTCATTAAAAGGATAATCCTCTATATTCTTATTCTCGCCACCCCCCCCCCCCCCCCCCCCCCCTTCTTAACAACAAATATTAGATCCGCGCCTGCACTAACCTCCATAGGTTTAGCGTGTATTTTCTTTCCTGACTGTTATATGTATAGAAAGTTTGATAGCTAATGGATGGCCACTTACATGTACCAATCATTTGTGAAAGTTTGTTTATATGTAATTTATTACTGTGTATATTGACATATGTACATATATCAGCTGTATAAGATGAAAGAGAATGCAATGCATATTGGCAGTCTTTCAATGTTTTATTTACCAATCATCAAGGTCGATTAATTATATAAAAGTATAGCTTATCTTTCAAAATAACTCACTGAAACACCAGATTCGCAAATATATAAAAATTCTTAAGCTTTTTTTCTCAGCTCTTATATTGGTGGAATGATAAAACATGGAAACATTTGAAAAAAATTCAAAAGCGAAATCTGAGGAAATGAAATATTAAAGTTTAATGACCTTCAACGTAAAACATACATAGTCATGTCCGTAAACTAGGCCAGTCGTTTATAAAATGTAAGTGAAATAACGAGGGTCTGGAATTATTTTCATTTTTAAGAAATTGTCTCTCTTCTTTATTTATTTTGACCATTATCCTCTATTCTTTATATTTTAGCACCGCATTATTCCTTATTGTTTTTCTCTTTTCTTTGTCCCCCCTTTAGCATATTTATTCTTCACCTTTTGCCGATTGTTTTTTTTTTATTTTGTAAACCCCACCCAGAACCTCATACATATTCATGTTAAATGCATGTGCGATAAATGGTCGAAATGTGTTTCCTGCATGATATGCTTTCCTCGTATACAATTTTTTTTTTAAATAAAGAACTTTAAATAGGTTAAATTTTAAAATTAGTAATTCTTATTAGTAACACAATAATCAACTGAAAATTACTAGAGATTCAAGAACATTAATACAGAATGATTCAAAGCGGAGCCATAACAGTTGACAAAAACGACATAATACACTCAAAATTAAAAATAATAAATAATACATGTTTTATAAGATATCTTGACCAACCTCAAGTGGGGAGGGGGGGGGGGGCGTAAAATTTCGATAAAAACAAATCTCCTTTTCTGGCAAAAATCGCCCTTTTTTTCGCGTCGCTACATTTTTGTACGCTCAGCGGTATATTTTCTGAAATTACACCCCTTTCACAGATCCTGGATACGCCCCTGACTAGAATAAAAAAAAGGGTCCTAGTATATAAAATAAAATAATTAATATATAAGAATATGATTCAGATGATTTTCTTCATATTATTTTCTAAATTTGTAATATTTGCATGATTTGCATGGCCGAATTGACCGAATTTTATACGCATTTTAAAAAGTCTGTTGATTATTGATTGATTGTTGGTTGCTTTACGCCGCATTAGCACAACAAGGCTATATCGCGGCGAGAGCTAATTCGAATATTTTTTACAATTTAAAGCATATTCTTAAAATCAGACAAAAGGCCCTTCAACAAACTAAAATTCTAGATGTAATTTTAGAAGTTAACATGCACTCGTATAAGTTTTTATTCAGGATTATAAATAAACTTACCTTACCACGGTAATGGGAGAAATCTATGGTTTTCTCACCATGAATGTCCGGCATAGAAAAATTATATACAGAATGGAGATTGTCATCGTGATGGTAACAGGCTACCTGCCTTGATGATAAATCTTGTCCCGAAACTGACCACAGCGTGGCCAAAACAATGGTCAATATATCCACAAAACCCTCCATCCCAGACTAAAGAGAATAGTTACATACTAACAGACGTGATATAACTGATGCTGATTTTGTTTTATGTAAGGATGTCAAGGGCAGGTAATCTAATGTGTCTACTCTTCACTTTCCAAGTACAAATGAACGTAATATGAAAACTATCTGGTACCCTCTCCAAAGTCAAATAAAAAAAAACTCTGTTCAACTAAAAGTATGGTATGCGATGTAGAATTAAAAAAAAAAACGTTTCAAAATAATGATTTTTTTTTCAAACTAGATTGAAAAAATAACTTTTCAGATTTAATCTAACAAAATATATAAATGAATTAGTTAGAAGCTGAGTGCTCTTAGCAACTATGCCTTAATTTATACGTCTGTGGTAGTGGCCATTTAAATTAGCCCACTGTAAACAAAAATTCAATTCCAAGCAACTATCTTAGACAGCTTACGAACCATGTCTTTTATCAACTGCATGGTGTATGCATCAGTACAAAAATAATTTATTAACATTCTGCAAAAGTTCAGCTCGCAGCTCTATTGGTAAGATGTCCGACCTTTTTCATTTGGGCGTTATTTTGAGATATTGGTTGGATGGCTCGTGTCCTATGGCCATTTTGTCCCCATGCTAATTTTTCCGGTGGATCGGTCCAGTTTTTTTTTTCCCCGGAAAAATTGGCATGGTCCTACTTTGCCCCTAAGCGTGACGGGGGGAGCCATGATCAGGCCTATTCTTCTCCCATAGTAACACGAAAAGCTCATTTCCACCCCCCCCCCCCCCCCCCTTTGTAGTTGGGAATTAATTATCCATTAAAAGATAGTAACCTTCTTTTAAATAGTTTAGCGTTACCAAACATTCTTCGTGGACCCATACACAGACCAGTGAACATATTGACAGACGTGTGGATCCATAGACATGCAGACTAAAAGACACACACACATACTGGTAGATGTGAAGACAGGCTACATGTGGACATGTTAATAGACTGGTGAATCCATAGATAAACTTGTAGATATGTCGACAGACTAGTGGACACATATAGCTTGACCGATAGGCGAACATGTTGACTGACTGGTGGACACGTAGACGGACTAGCGGACACGTAGAAAGACTGGTGAACATGTCGAATGACTGGTTGACACGTAGATAGACTGGTGAACATATATAGAGACTTGCGGAGACACACAGACTGGTGGACATGTAGAAAAACTGGTAGGCATGTCGACATTCTGGTGAGTATATACACAATCTAGTGAACATGTAGAAAGACTGGTAGGCATGTCGGCATTCTGGTGAGTATATACACAATCTAGTGAACACGTAGAAAGACTGGTAGGCATGTCGACATTCTGGTGAGTATATACACAATCTATTGAACATGTAGAAAGACTGGTAGGCATGTCGGCATTCTGGTGAGTATATACACAATCTAGTGAACACGTAGAAAGACTGGTAGGCATGTCGGCATACTGGTGAGTATATACACAATCTGGTGAACATGTAAACGGGTTTGTTGGCATATACACAGATTGGTAGATATGTTAACAGACTACTGGACACTTTGACAGACGAGTGGCCATGCAGAAATGTACTCTGATTTGTGGATATGTGTTGAAATCACCATACTCTCTTACATGCACATGCTAGCGGACACAGACAAGAGCACAAACATAAAGTTCAATGTTTAATGCATATAGGTTAACTCCTTTGAATAAGTTCCATACCGCTGTACCTTTTTCCGGATGTTAAATATATGAATGGATGGAAATGTTCAGGCTATCATATATCAATAGTTGGCAATTGGATTAAACAGTTGTATATATATCAATGGGTAATAATATCTTAATGAATATTAAATAAATTTATTCCTTCGATGAAAGTGCTAATCTCCAAATTTGACAGTAGTATTTCATCACCCACAGTTACTGCTAATATGTAAGTCTAATAAATCGAATTTTTGGACAGATTCAAGATATAAAAGTGTAAAAAGTATATGGGAGACGGATTTATAAAAGTTTTTTTTCAAACTTGTTTCCGAATCCCATATTTGAATTTCATTAACATTGTAATACTTTATTGCTGTAATTTTTCATTAATATATACCATAGGCGGATCCAGGGGTGCCCTGGGGGCCCGGGCCCCCCTTTTGTGGTAAAAATTTGGTTGATTATATAGGGAATCACTGAAGCATGACCGGAGCGCACACCCCCCCCCCCCTTTAGGTCAGTATCTTCCCCCCCCCCCCCCCCCCCTTACAAAAAGTTCTGGATCCGCCACTGTATACTGTCTAAACTAATATATGAATAGGGATATTTTTCGAATGAAAACGGAACTCCTATAGCACAAATATATAGGTGCCCTTAACCCACTCCCCGACCCTAAAGCTTTGTAGTGACATACGTGTCAACAAAACGAACACAATTTTTACCCAACATCTTATGCAACCCAAGCCGAAAATCAGAGTATCATAGTTTAGCACTCCAGGAATTAATTATTTCTTAAGAAAATACGACAAATATGTTATACAATAAATGGCCGTAATTTGATGTATATGTATAAAGTGAAATCCAAAGTGTAGGGAAAATATGGACATGGTTTGAAAGTGGCTTTATGTATACGTATTGTCAACTTTCCTCAGGAGAAGAATAGCAATGATCCAAAATTACCCCGGGGGGAAATGGCTTTACAACACCGGCATAAAATGAAAAACATTCAATGAGAATTATCCTTTGACTAAACCATCGCTAGAATCAAGGAATTGTATATTTAAATATACAATTCCTTTCTAGAATCTAACAGTATCTTTTTCAGCCGTATGTTTATTTACGACACATAATTGTCACTGTCAGTTGCCACAAAAGATCCCATTACCATTTGGTTAATAAAGATGACTACTTACCTTGCCACGGTAACGCGAGAAATCTATAGTTTTGCAGCTATGAACGTCGGGCATAGCATAATTATATACAGAATGGCGATTGTTCTTGTGAGGAATACATGCCACTTTCCTTGTTGTCCTGGATGCCCGTGCTGTTTGTCCGGACACTGAACATACATCGACCAAAACAATGGTCAGAAAATCAGCAAAACAGCCCATCTCGGCTAAGCAAGGTTGGTATACTAATATGTATAGTTTTGTGTAACTTAAGCAGTTTATGTATAATGCAAGAGTGTCAAGTCCGAAAGGCAAATAGTAGGAACAAAGTGCAATAGATTGTTAACTAATAATTTAGGTATCGCACTTTTGCATTGACGGATTGTTGGAAGGTTCAAAATTAAAACATAAGGCACCGACCATTCATCTTGTGTGTTTGGTAGCGACATGTTTTTGTAAATAAATTGTATTATTTTAAATTTCTCGAAGAAAAACAAATTGTTTCAAAAAGAAAGAGAAAACGATATTTTGTTTTCATTGAATATATGGAGAAATAAATACAAATTTGAAAAAAAATGTGTTCTTATGGTGTTTGTTTTTATTGAAGACGAAACAAATGTTTGTCCCGGTCAAGAGACCCATGCCACTGCGTGTTAATATTAGTGTCTTACATATAATCTAATTAAAAGTTTAGATCCATTTTGAATTGCTTACTCGTCGAAGAATCATCGACTGTTTTTTTTTTATTAGATTGAGAAATAACTTATTTTTTAACTCAATCTTTAAATCTCTTACTTTTTGCCACGGTACTCGAGAAATCTATAGTTCTTTGACCATGTACGTCAGACATTACAAAACAAGTTGCTTTCTTTAAAAAAGGAAGAGCAATACGTGAACCTAAGACCGCTGACTGGTCACCAAAAGATTGTTGCTGAATTTTTGTTTGCTTTTGAATTGAAATAATTGACTGTCAATAGAAGGAGATAATGATGAAGTTAAACTACCTTTATTAAAAATATGTAATAGTGTGTACATTCTTGCACAAGTCAGTTGAAAGCAATGTTGGATAGGTGTGAATAGAAAAGTGTATATACAGCTACTATTTGAATACACATTTTAAAGCTCGACTATTTCATTTATTACTTGGGATTGTACATCATTTTTTTATAATCCTATTGCAAATCCCAGTTTCTACAAACCGGATGTATAATGCAAATTGCACAAACCAATCGCAATATAAATTCAAGCACTCAGTTTGCTTTATAATCTGGATGCATTTATTTTATCTATCAAATGATCATCTTTATATTTTGTTTCCTGCATGGATGCCTTCATATTCTCAACTCGTTATTGAAGTTGTCTGTACTCATGGTAGATGTTGTACCGATAATTTAAAGTCCATTTTCCATGTGAAGTGAAACCCTGTGGCATGTAACTTATAAGAAGGTTTCGTATATTTTTCTTGAGAGTAACACACCAGCTTCATTTGGACCTCTTATATAGAGACTTATTTTGGTCTCATAAAACATCCCAAATTTTAAGGATTTCCTGATTTTATTTAAATCAATCCAAATTTTTTACAGGGAAACTTGGTTTTGAAGAATATCTTATTTTCAGAAGTTTTGTGAATACCTGAATATACTCTCAAAAGAACCAATTTATATAAAAAGACATGTAGATATAAAAAAATACCAGGATTAACATGTTGTACGCCAGACGCGAGTTAAGTCTACAAAGAATCATCAGTGACGCTCGAATAAAAATAGTTCAAAAGGCCAAATAAAGTACGAAGTTAAGTAATCTATTCCTTGGGTAGAAAATCCTTGGCATTTCAAAAATATCAAAGTTTATAAAAGGACAGTGACTCAAAAAAAGAAAACAAAAGAGAAACAGCTAGAGGTCAGGATACCGTAAGCAATGATGACCATGCTTGAAAGTCACATGGCAAGCTCTTATCAAGACGTGTAGGATAGCTGACCATCACAATGGATACAATTTTCAAAACCGTACCATAGTACAAATATTTAGATGCTATAAGGTTGAACTAATAAAAGAAAAAAAAAATTAAAAAAAATAATAATTAACATTGTATATGATAGTTATTAAATTTTGTTATGATTATTGTAAAATATTAATTACGTTTTTTGTGAGATGCAAGGATTTAAAATCCTTGTGAATTGAAACCACGCAAGTATTTTTTCATTCACGACCGTTTAAAATTTAGATATTTAGCTA